TTTTGTTTTCTTTAACATTTCATTAAATATGCCAAAATCATACACGTATGTCACATGACAGTTCCAGACACAAATTTTAAACTATCTGTTCTTGACATGTTATATTGCAAACATGTGGACATGGAGATGTCTACATCCTCGTTTTGAAACTGACTCATCCCCCACCTGAATTTGAAGGCATCCTTGGCTACTTACTGTCTGACTTTGGTGTGTTCATGGTTTGCTATTGTTTCAGTGTGCTGTGTGATCTGGGGTGGGAGTGGGGGGTGGTTTGGGTAGAGACTGTAGTGTTGTTTGTGTCTGATGTGTGTGCTCTGTGTGCCTCGAGTTGTGGAGAAGGGCTCTTAGCACTCTGATAGCCTTTCTCTAATATCAGTGGATAACTGAATAGACTGCTTTTATAACTAAATGTGGACAGCTCTCATAAGACGAGGCAGTGGTCATGCTACAAGGCAAAGCTCACATGAGGCCAGAAGGTGGAGGATGCTGTCTGTCCCAGCCTGCTGTTGTTGGAGGCCATGTGGGAATCCAGCCTGGGCGACTGTGTCCTCGCAAATGAAATAGTGTTGGTTAGTAATCCCATCCCTATTCCCTGATGAGAGTGGTGCCTCTCTGGAGATATGTTGTCACAATGGACTAAATGTGTGTGCTTTTCTGATTCCTCACTGCATTTTGCATTACATGTTTGTGGTCCTCTGCAGTCCCGGCGTCACCATGGCAACTGCAAAGGTTTCATGATATTTACCACTTTCTTCAAGCACTGTTTCTAAGGACTGATTATTTTCTTACAACGGTTGACTGCCTTCCAAAATGGGAGTGCAGTCCATTTCTGATAACGCGCAAGGAAAGCCACCGCCAGCTTCAGGTGTTTCTCTCCCCTCACAATTCACACTGCTCTTTCCAAGCAATCCACCATCTGTAGACAGGGCCTGCTTTTCTTATATTCTGAAATGTCCTAGACATATTTCTTCCCTTATCGAGGTCACCAGGCCTGAGAATTTCTAGTGAGTCTCCGTTGCTTTGGTAGCCATAGCCTGAGTTGTTGATGTTTTACCTCCTGAAAGTATGTATGCTTTGATGGAGATTCCCACCATAAGCACTGGGGTTGTGTCTCATTCTCTTTGTTTCTTAGATAAGAAGATAGCAATGGTAATTTAAAATGGTACCTACCTGGGGGCTGGAGAGATAGCTCAGAGGTTAAGAAAACTAGCTTGCCTTCCAGAGGTCCTGAGATCAATTCCCAGCAACCACGCGATGGCTCACAACCATCTGTAATGAAATCTGGTGCCCTCTTCTGGCTTGCAGGGATACATGCAGGCAGAACACACACACACACACACACACACACACACACACACACACACACACACAATCTTAAACTTAAAAAAAGTCATCTATCTGAAAGTGAAGGAAAAAGCCCCACACACTTAAGGAGTGAACAGCTGATTCTGACTTACACTGCAATATCCTAGAGTAGTCCCACCTGCAATCAAGTTGAGTCTCCCTACACTATCTAATATGATCAATACAGCCCCCTATAGGCATGCCCAGGGGCCCATCTCCCAGGTGATTCTAGAGTCTGTCAAATCGAATTAACACACATCTTCTTGAGAATTCACAACTCTTATGTTTGGTGCTCTCCCTTCTTACTCCTTCAAACACGCAGAAGACTGAGAAGTTTAGAGTGATTATGAGCCTAATTTATTACTTTAGAAATCAGCCCCACACCCAGGAATCTTTAGAACAGAACTGAGTAAAAATGAGAGATGTGTCAGGGTCAGGACAGCCAGCCAGACCGGCATCATTGTCTCATTGCAATCTCTAGGTGACATTTGTGGTGCTTCTCCCTCCCTCTCTCTCTCTCTGTGGGGGGTGCACATATAAGTTCATGTGTGTATATGCATGTCTGCATGAGGGAGCACACACATGCACAGACTTGTAGAAGCCCAAGATAAATGTCAGAAATCTACTTTCCAACTTACTCTCTGAGACAGAGTCTCCCAGGCAAGCCCAGAACTCACCCATTTGGCTAGTTTACCTAGCCCTGTCTCTGGGAATGCTTTCCTATTTTCCTAGGGCACTGGAGTTAATTATTTTTTTATTGAAGGCTAAGACTGTGCCTAGTATTAAATTGAGAATGGCATCCGTGGTGAACAGTTAAGCATTTACTCAATGTCTGTCATAACTAGTTTTAGCCCAAATGTTTTAGTCCATATTTTACCATCTGTAGACATGAGAGGTGTAAACACAATCCAGTCTTTTATTCTGATGGCTCTAATATGGTAGCATTTGAGATGTTTGTAAACATCACAGGAACAGACACAAGAGCCAGGATTTATGCTCAGAGGCGGTTTATGATTCACGCACATGGACTCCAGATAGGTTGCTCTACAGCAGATGAACAGAGGGAAGACGTTTCTAAGATGTTGCATAAAGTGAGCGGTGACCTGGGTTTTGAATGGTACGGTCTCTTGCACGCTGTGTGGAAACGAGTGACTTCCTATCTCAATAAGAGCTTTTGTAAACGTCACAAAAGGTCCACGTTTGACGTATGTGGGGGAAATTTGAGAGAATAATGTCAGTGATGTGTCTCACCCAAACACACACTCAAATTCCAGAGAAACACCTTCACTCAAAGAATAAGTGACGAATGTCATCCATGACACAGGCCATACCTAAAGGGGTTGCAGGTATCATAGGCTGCAGCTTCCTAGGCTGCCGTGGACATCGAGCACGTCCGTAGTGCCAACACGCCCACACTAAATTGGATACCACTGCTTTCTCTGAGTCCCTCTCCCCTGGCTGTATGCACTGAAGCAAAGCCAGCTAGTCCTTGGACTGTTGCCTCTTGGAACCAGACAGCTTTCCAGAGTCTTTGGACTCTACCGCTTTTCTCAGAGGTTTACATTCTCCAGCGGCTGTATACCAGCAAGCTTGCCACTGCATTCTCCAGGGTGGCTCAGTAACAACAAGCTTGTCACTGCTCCCAAAACTGGGAGAAGAAAAAAATGTACTGTGCCCTTTATTAAGTTTATTTTTTTTTCTTCAACGTTGATGGTTCTTTTAATTAAAGAATCCTTCCCAAGGTCAATTAGTCTCTTCTCTCCAAAGGATGTACCTTTGCCAATTAATCTTCCTACCCAGTCAGACTCAAAGGTAGCTTGGCCTCACCAGTAGGAACCTGAATTCATTCATTCATTCTTTCTTTCTTTCTTTCGTTTGTTTTTTGTCTTTCAAGACAGGGTTTCACTGTGTATCCCTGGCTGTCCTGGAACTCACATTGTAGACCAGGCTATGGTCGAACTCAGAGATCCGCCTGCCTCTGCCTCCAGAGTGCTGGGATTAAAGGTGTGCGCCACCACCATCCTGTGGAACCTGGATTCTTTAGAGTCTTCTCTATGCTGCGTTCTCTCCATCTTTTCCTCCCACAACCTGAGAGTCAAGAATATACTCATGGGACACCATCTCTCAGTTTCGCTAGCCAGACTTTCTAGGCTGGGAAGAACTACTCATGGGTACCTCCCTATTGCAGTTTAATAAGGATCAGGATAAACGAATAGGCCGAATAGATGTTTATTCAGGGAGAAATAACTTACAACCTAGACAGATTAACACCAGTAGGCTCCACTGGATGCTCTCTGCCAGTTAAGAGCACGTTCCCTGGCTCCTCCTCAGACCTCCTTCCACAGGTCACTTCCGCTCATGGCTCCACCCCCCAATGGGCGTGGCCAGCGCCACAGAAGGAGACGAAGTAAATATCCCACTACATCTCCCTGCGTCCAAAGTCTTCCTTTCTACCACAGCCATATTTAACGGTTCCTGATGACTGTGCCTAACAGAGGGCCTGGTGTATTCAGTAGCACCCAGTAAAAACACAGGGTTCCAGGGCTCAAACTCTAACCACACCACGCAGCTGGTGCTCTGCTTTCGATCAACATAGCAGAGCACTCTGACCCCCTACTTTCCTTTACAGTGGGGGTAAGAACAGTCAACACAAAAGGGAAAAGTGTCATTAAAGATAACTTCCATCACCTCTGGTAGTGAATGAATGAATGAGCCAATGAAAGAGATGCTACCCAGGGAGGAGGGGGGCTTCACTTGCTTCTGATGGGTTCCCACGAAGCCTGACGTCTTCTGGACAGAAGTATCGGGTGTTTAACTCAGGAGCTTGGGTTTCTATGGAGGAAGGACCACTTACTGAGTTATTCTTCCACCCTCTCTCTCATCAGGTGGGAGCTTTCACCAACTGAGCCCTGGAGCCATCCCACCTTCCCTTGACTTCTGCTGGCCACCCCACAGCCTCTCGTTTCCCCTTGACCCTGGTCTCTACCACAAGGCACCATTAAGCTGACGTTTGCCTTAATTTAGCAATTCATCCTGTTCTAATAGAACTCACTGGGCTTTCCGAGCCCCCAGCATCTCATTCTGTGTCACAGTGACTCAGAGCCTTCTCCTCCGGCTTCAGCTTCATTCCTATTGCCTTGATAGTACACGGACAGAAGCAGAGTATTGGAGAAAGCTTAGTTTAATGCACAGTTCAAGGTGGGGAGTTCCAGTCAGCAGAAGCATGAATTAACTGTCTTGTCACACCCATAGTAAGGAAACAGAGGGGCTGAATGCAAACATGTGTAGAAGGTCTGGCTCAAGAGTGGCCCCACCCACAGTTAAAGTTAGTCCTACCATATGAACGAACATAAGCAAGGTGTTTCCCCCATAGGCATGGTCAGAGTCCATCTCCCAGATGGTTCTGGATCCTGTCAAGGTGACGATGGAAAATGACTATCACACCCATCCAGTGGTCTCCTGCTCCACAACCTCGCTATTGCTTCCTTGACTCTCGCAAGACAGGGAGATTGAGGACGTAGAACCCCATCTGGTTGCTCAAAACTTTAGTGACTGGAGGAATGGTGGTATTGATGACAAAAATATGGCTTGAATGGAAGGATGGTTAAAAAGGTATCTGAGTGTGTAATGGCTTCTGATATGTTCTATCTTCTTAGCTACTAATAGGGAGAAAATAAATGAGAAAAACCGAACAGAACTAAGCAAAAATCAAAATGACTCTCCACTTTTAAAGGTAACACAACAATATGTCAAATATTAAAGCATGTCCAGTGTTGAGGTTGTAAAGGTACACTTATGTAAAAGAACTTAAGTAATTTAAGTTATGTGATAATGAAGTCAGAATAGCCAGTGATATCCATGTGTGGGTTCTGATTTATTTTATGATTTTTTAAGTTGATGTAGACTTACCAACTCTCACTCTCCATCACCATCTAAACATGCTATTCCTCTTTCTGTATTTTAAATAACCCCACATGGTTGACAATAAAATCTGCTGTGATCTGTTTCTCTTGTGAAATTGATCATTTCCTTTGCCTCTTTGTAACTTCCTTGACGGAGTGTGTTACTTTACAGCCTCACGGTCAGGAATGAGGAAAGAGGAGACTCTGCGGGGAGACCCCCACACGCCACAAAAATGGAGAGCATCCAGGTCCTAGAGGAGTGGTGAGTGTGATGGCCGGGTTGGAGTCATTTCTGTGTTTAATGGCACTTCTGTCCACCCTGTGCCCAAGCATCATCTCTTATGTGTTTAAGGAATGGACAGCAGCTAACCCTGCAAGATCTTACTCATTATTGCAATTGACCAGGTTTCCTATTCACTATGTTACAAGGCCAAGCATTATCTTTCTCTGTTAGTTCAATAAAGATTATTGCAGGAGTTATCGCAGAAAGTGCCTTGATTTTACTACTTTTGGCTGGAACTATTTTAAAATTTGTATTCACTTTACAAGAATCTGAACACCACATAAACACACATGCACACATATACACAAATGTACACATGCATACATAACATCTGCATATACACACACACTGGATTACCAAAATCAACCAGTAAAAACACCCAGCTAGCCAGCTCCTAGTTTTATAGCCACCAGAACAGATTTTAACCAAATCTTTCTAAAACAAGAAATTAAAGGAAGAAACCTAAGTCAACGGTTCACATAATTATAAAGCCCCCCCTTTCTTGTTTTTTATAGAAGTTTTAGTATTTCACCATGATGGTAAACAGCCGTACATTTAATTTTTTTTATTGAGAGTAAGTATGTGTTGTGTGTGTGTGTGTGTGTGTGTGTGTGTGTGTGTGTATACACATGTGTGCAGGTGTGCTCTCCCATGTGTGGATGTGTAGATGTTAGACGTGCACATCAAGTGATCTCGTGTATCACTTTTCCTACGCGTGCGCACACACACACACACCCTTCTGAAGCATGGTCTCTCACTGAACCTGGAGAGCAATTTGCTAAACTTATTTGCTTGTGAGTCTTTGGCGTCTGGCTATGTCCACCCCTAACCCGAGCACTGAGGTGTGGAGCACACCACCTAACCTGGCTCTTACGTGGGTACTAGGGATTCAAATTCAGGTTCTGAGGCATAGAAAGCCCTTTGCCTACCGAGCCGATCTCCACAGTCCCGAATTTAACATTGTAAATGGATAAAGGGCTTCAGATATTATGGGACAGCTGCAAATCTACTTAATATACCTGGGTAAAAGAAAAATTAAGAAAGCCAAAAGCCAAGATTCTGGATCATCTTAGAAATAAAAAGAAATCTGCAAGCTTTGTGCTTCTCCTTCTTTGGTGTGAGGGCAAATAGATGTGACTAGGGCAATGAAATAGTGACCCTTATTATATATGGCTGTCCAGAAAATCCTTCATCCTGTTCTAAAAATCCTCTGCTTCCCAAGGAATACTTTGAACACTGGGGGATATTTTTTGACAAGTGCACAAAACATATTCTTATTTTAGACTGTGTAAATAATAAGGTACGCATACTGAAGATGGAAAATCCACTCCTTCTTATGGTTAGACAGCACAAATAAGGTAGAAAGAAAAAGTATTATTCGCAGAATGTTCCTGTCCATTCACAACACATTTCTGGGAAGCATCACCACTTGAGGGATTCTTTAGGGCTGTCTGACAGCTATGGGCTTGTGGTATATAGCTCCTTACTGTTCTAACCCTCAGCTCCCATCTGGTCATTTGTGACTCTGGACTGCTAACACTCCCTCAGATGGCTTGCCAGATCCATCCAGGAGGAATAGCGGGACGGGACCATTAGAGGGCAGCAAGTGACAAAGGCTTTCAACCCCCGAGCTCCTCCCTCGGCTGGTGTGGAAGTTGCTTCTAATGGGCTTCGGTTTCTGTGTCTGCAGCCAAAACCCCACTGCCGACGAGGTCTTGTCCTGGTCTCAGAATTTTGACAAGATGATGAAGGCTCCTGCAGGAAGAAACCTTTTCCGAGAGTTCCTCCGAACAGAGTACAGCGAGGAGAACCTCCTCTTCTGGCTAGCCTGCGAAGACTTAAAGAAAGAGCAGAACAAAAAGCTGGTCGAGGAAAAGGCCAGGATGATATATGAAGACTACATTTCCATACTGTCGCCGAAAGAGGTAAGGGTCTAGAGAACACCGAGGTGGGATTTCTGAGACCAGTGCGACTCTACGGGGCCCACTCTCAAGGCCATTAATGCCTAGATTTCTACGGGTAGTTTAATAAGCGTTCCATTCAGTGTCTCCCCTACCCCACCCCCAGACACCTTGAAGGCCAGGTCTGCCCACTGTGCTTTGATCATTCACCTTCAGCCAAATGGTATGTGTTTTCTAGATCTGATACCCCTCAGGGGCAAGTTGCTATGTTTTAAAGCCGGTGGCCCTTTTAAAACCATGATGCTAGGACCATGTGCCTGAGAGTCCCCTGGGCCATTTGTCTAAAAAGGCTATCGCCCATTGAAGCATGCCCAGGAGACAGAGAGAGAGAGAGAGAGAGAGAGAGAGAGAGAGAGAGAACACGTGCACATGTATTTAGAATCATCTTCAGCTGCCCCTTTACTTTCTTCATTGCTGTTAATGTTCAAAAATTAGAAGGTAGGTTTTATTTGTCTTAAGATAACTAATGTGACACCAAAAAGTAATCGTTACACTGGATTTCACTTCACTGTTAAAGAAGTAAATGAACCTCTCTCCTTGGACACAGATCTTCAGTTTTCTTCTCCACTGAAACAAAAAATTCTCTCAAGTTTAAAAGTAAGAGCAAACCTGTGTGTGTGTGTGTGTGTGTGTGTGTGTGTGTGTGTGTGTGTGTGTGTTTGGCAGGATGTCACCCAACAATGACATTCCAGAATAAAATGAGCCCGTTTAAACTCCAATGCCAATATTTTTTTATTGAGTAGACCAACAAAGAAGATTGTGGGGTCCAGCTAAGAGGTGGCTAAGTTTCTCTATGCATAAACCAGTTAGGGTCAAACCAACCAGACTAATTGCTGATCTCCGAATCCAGCAAGCCCTTTGGAGTATCCGTCAGTCTAACACACCTGTCTGCTAAATTCAGGAACTTGATGAGATCTGCTTAAGCTCATTCCCAGATCACTGCAGACATGCAGACAGCACATGGCCCTGCCTGTGGAGGAGAAAGGCGGCCAGCATCAAGATGGCTGCCATACAATGCTTACGCCAAGGCATTTCAGTATAAACACAAAAGGCCGTGTGTGTTGAGAGGCAGTCAGCCCTGCACTGCAACACCCTGATCACAGCTGAAAGCAATCAACAATCAACACTCTGGGCTATTGTTGTTGGTTGTTTTTTGATTGTGCTTCCCCCCCCCCCCCGTTTTTTGTTTTGTTTTGTTTTTTTTTGAGACAGGTTTCACTGTGTCCTGGAAGCACTCTGTTGACCAGGCTGGCCTCCAGCTCACAAAGATTCCCCTGCCTCTGCCTCCCTGAGTGCTGGGATTAAAGGCGTGTGCCACTGCCACCCTGCCCTGGGTGATTGTTTTGCCTCCTGTAGGATTTTCCTTTTCTCCTCCTCCTTTGGCAGGGCTGGGGGTTGAAGCCTCCTACGTTTGTGTGTTTTTTCCTAATGTGAGCTTTCAGTACAGATCGTTCAATCTATTCCCCTAACCATGGCCTTGGTGCTATTTATCTGTTCCTACTTTCCTAATATGTCCTTTGTGCCCCAGGTTAATTGTCCAGTAAGAAGGGCATGTGAAGAATTACTGGATTTTTATCTATTTATTTTTACTGAATTTAATTTCTGTATACTTTTAAAGCAACAGTGCATTGCTAATTTTGGTAAGTATCCTGGATTCCCAAGATTCTTTTATTAAATATTATGTTTCATTATCCTAGTTTCTGTTTGGTAGAGATCTTAGAAAGCCGTTTCCTAGATGGTACCACATGGCTAGGACTATAGATCGACCTCTGTTTCTGCTTACTTTTCCGTGGTCTGTGCGTTCCCGCCCTTGACGTGGTGAGACCCATCGGAATATGAAACAAATGAGTACCATAAACATGTGTGCTGATTTTGGTAGGAGAACTCCTTTCTGCCTTCAGAATTGTGCCCAATTGTGCCCAAGGGAGTCACCCTTGAGGTCACAGGAAAGGAAGGGGGTGAATAGCAGTCTGAGTATTCTCTGGCAATCGATAATGCATGGAGATCGTGAACACAAAGAAGCCAAGATAGCTGTCAACTAAATTTTTTCTCTTTCTTTTTTTCTTTTTTTCTTTTTGCTGTTGTTTAATTCAGCATTCGAAGGGGGGGGGGATATCACACATTCTTAGTTAGCCTTTGAAAACGCCAATCTCTGGGGTTGTGGGTGTCAGTCTTAATAGATGAAGTCTCTCTGAAAAGTCGCTCGCAAACCACACAGACATGTCTGTGCCTGTTCCATTTTAGGTCAGCCTGGATTCTCGAGTTAGGGAGGTGATCAACAGGAACCTGCTGGACCCTAGCCCTCACATGTATGAAGATGCCCAGCTTCAGATCTACACTCTGATGCACAGGGATTCTTTCCCGAGATTCTTGAACTCGCAGATCTATAAAGCTTTTGTTGAAAGTACTGCCACCTCTTCTTCTGAATCTTAGTTTTCATTTGAAAGGCCAAAACCAAAATCGTTTCAGAGGGCTGGGACAGGAAATATAAGTAGTTACATGGCATCAGACATTGAGTTCCTGGAGAATTACTACAGGTGGGCACCCTTGGGCTGCTGGCGAGAGAGTCGTGAAGGCCCTTGTCTCCATTTTTTTATCGAGTTTATCCATGATTCTGTTTGGGGAAAAGCCTGTATAAGAGTTGCCAAATTACGTTTGTCTGATTTAACACTTGTTCTACTTGCGAGCAACCTGTGTTCCTAGTCCTCTGAACAGACTCCTAGTGCATCTCCAGAGGCCGCATGTGCAAAGTACAACTGCTTTGTCTGCCCCTTAGTTGTACTATTTAATCAGTAGCATAACTTATATCTGTATTTAAGGACTTTTGTGCAATATGGTCTCTTAGAAACAATTGCCAACAGATTGGCTGTGGTTTGCATTTTTAAGCATAATCTGATACAAAAAAAAAAAAAAAAAGGCTATTTTAGTCATGTAACTGTGATATTTAACCATGCTACATACCATGTTTAGTACGTGGACTTTGAAGCCAATTTTTCTGACCATGAAAAGAAAAAGTAGCTGTTTATCTCTGCCTGTTGACAGACCTTAGTTTGAGGTCCCTCTGGTTGTTCACTGCCCAAACTCTGGCATTTTCATCACAGAAGAGTTTGCTACGTTTAAAAAAAAAAAAAACCCAAAAAAATGATAAGAAAAGTTTTTTTAAAAAGCACAAAAACAATCTGAAGATATCCCATCTCGTTGAAAATTCCAAGAGTGATTTTCTTTTTTTAGGTAAAAAGAAGAAACGAGTCTATGTATATATCAAATGTCCAACAATGTCATTAACTTATTAAAGAATGACTTTCCAGTTCTAAAATAGTTGTGTAAACAATATGCTTGGGTATGTAAAGAAAAAGATTTCGTAAGAATGCCTACACGTAGCACTGAAAAAAAAAAAAAAACACCTTGAGGGATTGCACCTGGCGCGTATAATCCCGTGAAAAGCTTAAGATTTTCCTAAGCAACATTTTACAAGGAGTTATGAAGATGAAACTCTTCGATGTCAGACCTTAACTGTTTTCATGTAGTATCTCAAGAAGGACTTGTTTTAACATTGTTCAAAACAATCAGCCCTCAGCCACAAATAGAAGGCAATGCTCAAACCATTTAGCTGCCAATATTACTTTTTGTAATTCCATCAACTTTTACATGAAATACTCACCTGACCTTGGCATGAATCTCTGACCTTCAGAACAGTGTTGTTTTGTGCAAAAACCAAAATTACAATCATCACATCGATATCAAGGTCTTATCTTTCAGTATCAATATCCCCAAGACTATTTTTTTAATCTTAAATTCAATGAATATAATGTTGAGTAATCTAAAAAGAAAATGGAAGAGTTAAAGAGATTTATATCCACCGAGAATACTGGCCTTATATTAAGGATGATAATAAAATTATAGGTTTTATTTGTCATTTTTAACTACCTCTCATTTTTTAATTTATTAAACATATTTTTTTAAAAGGAAAGTTTGCAGTTTTCTTTTTAAATTTATTTTACTTGAAAGGTTGGCATCATGTTTCTTTTTCCATAAATTTAAACATTTCAAGAATTGTTTTTTTTTAAATGAGTATGATTTTCTAACTTATATAGAATTCAGGAGCTATGATTAAAAGGGCTATTACCTACTCCCTATGCAAATATTTTAACTGTTGCAGTGTTTGACAAAATGGGATTTTAAAAAAAAAATTGCAGAATAGAAAACAAAATGTTGTGTTTACACTGGCGTTGCTGACTACCCTCCCATGTTCAGCACTTTTAAATACATCATTTCTGAAAACATAGGTAAAATGCAGATAGAAAATATTTATAATAGTCATCTTTTAACAAATGCCTGTTTTTTTTTCCTGAAAGTGTTAATGTATTTAAGATGTGCTTTATTCATGTCACCTAGATATTTACTATTTGAATAGTTTCAGTCATATGTTGAGAAAAAGATAGTTGTAAAGATGTTTACAAAAAAAAATCCTATTTTTTCCTAAAGAGTCAAGAAAACTTAACAAGAGCATCATTGCTTCCATTGTGAAGCTCCATCATTCAAAATCATTTAATTATTTTCTTGATTAATGTTTATGATGCTACTATGATGTGTACCCCCATTTAGAGTATGGCATCATACGTATTTCCATGTTTGAGGCACAATGAATCGGTGCACATACCAGGAGATATGTAATATACACTTTGCATGAGAAATTGTTTCCAATGTAGACTTTATATTCCTGTTGTTACTGTGGATGCTGATGACCTACTATCTTGGGTTATCTTTACAAGATGCTCCAGACTATTTAGTGGGTTGTCTGTTTGACAATGCATCTAATATTTTACCAAATGTAAACGTTAAGGGCCTTCATGTAGAGTACTCATCTCTAACCTGGGCATTTGCTATGTTTGCATTTCAAAGTTGCTGTGTCTTTTGGAACCGGGGTTAAATAGCTTCCTTGAAAAGGTTCTAGAGCACATTTGCACAGCCCCCGCCATTAGCCACGCTGTGTGAACAGTTCTGTGCTAAATTGCTATGCCGGGGAGGTGGGAGGGGAGGGGACCCTTATTTTATTTCAGAATGTTTCAAGTTTTGAAGTGTGTCTGCGGACTTATGACTATGCCAGTTTTTAAAGTACGATATAATTTCTTCTATTTAAACCGCAGAGCTATGATAAACAAACAAAAGCCCTCCACAGATGTCTCTGCCACCGTTTCGAGAGCACAACACTTACTTGCTTTGTTCAAGCTTGATTTCATTCCTAGTGAGTACATAGCTCCCTGGGGAAATGCTCGCACTTTCAAATGACGCACCTTGTGTTTTAGACTGCCAAGATGACTGTGTATCCTGCTGGAATCTGCCAATGCACACACTGGAGCGAAAGCACTTTTTGTAGTCCCTGTCTACAGGCGAATCTATTATGGAAAGGCAGGCAGACGGTGTAGAGGATGTATATAGAGGTGTCTTGAAGACAGAGGTCTTCAGAGGTGGCTCTTCCACATAGACGCGCTAACACTGGATGGATGACTCTTCTCTTTTAGTTTTATTACGATGTTCGAGGTTATCACAGATGCTCTAAAAGTATGACAAGGCACACATGCATATCTTGATACTGGAAATATGAAACACAAAAGTCAAAATTTTAGTATGGTCTTCAAAAATTCATACACTATTTATATATGACCAGTTCTAACAGTGAGTCATTGTGCCTGGAATGTGTATTAGTGCCCTCCAATGCCCACTAATAAAAAGTATGTGCTGTATTTACTTGATCAGTGTCAAAGGACTGTAGAATTAGAAAAAGGCTTATTTGTTGAAAATAAATACATGCCTCTCCCTACTGTTATGATTTAAAATAATACTTGAACCTTAATTTAAATCTATTCTCTCTTTTTTTTTCTATAGTTCTTTAATCTTCTCAGAAAAAGTCACATTGTAATTGTGGAAACTACACTCGCAACAAAAAATATCAGGTGCTTTGATGAAGAATTTTAAATGGAAGGAATTTAAAATAAACTGTAGGAAAATAAGTTTTTGAAAAACCACCATTTTGTCTTTAAACAGCTAGAAGATATACCTAGAACCCAACATAACATGAATTTTGAATAAGCTTTATATATTAGCATATTGTTTTGAAATAGGAAAGATTGTCAAAAGATTGGCTTCCCTGTCTATTTAGGTTGCTGTTTAATGATCCATCTCCAAAGCACATTTTCCAACTATTTGAGTATTCTTTTCTGGTTTTAAATTTCTGATCAATATATAAAGCCATTTTCCTTAGAAAGGCATATGCCACGTGTAATAATTTTAGTAGTTCTTCACTTGCCACAACTGCAAACATTTACTACTAAAACATCCCAGACCTTACTTTCAGAATGTTATCTACACGATTACGGTATGGTTGCAGCACACAGTGTATGGGGGAGCATTGGCTCCCAACGGCAAACTTTGATTTCTGTGTACGTCCAAAAAAAAAAAAAAAAAAAAAGATTATTCTTACAGATATAGTCCTAAACAGTCAGAAGCGACATGTTTTCCTTTCAGTTTAAGTGAACATTCCAGACCATCATTCTAGCGAAAACACTGAAGAAAAGGGATGTTACCTTAGTCGGGAAAATGGGGCTGGGGACTCATTGGTTCTTAAGCAGAAGCTCGGCGTTGGGGAAAGCAGTTACCCGAAGCACTAACAGTGATAACCAAAGGTAACACCTTAATGTTATGTGTACAATCTGAGACTCAATTTCCTCCCGTGTCTTGTACTCAATGTTTTCTGTTGCAAACTTTTCTGCCAATTTACGGCATTTCCACTCTTTAAATAGTTAAGAGTTAAGTGTGTTTTAAAGCGATAATAAAAGAAACCACTGCAGGGTTGGACACATTTCCTTTTGAAATGCCCCAGCTGATCTCTTGCGACGTTTATGTCCAGAAATCGTAGGAAAGTCATTATCCTTTCCAAATCTGTCTCTTCACCTGAAAACGAAGACTATTAACTATGGGGTGGCCATGGGAACAATGATGTTGCAAATGATAATTTATCACAGCTCTTCAGGCCACAATTTTTAGGAAGGGCTGTAGTCAGTGTCGTTTTCATGTGCTTTCACCCTGTTTATTTATCTTTGTGTTTTTCGAGACAGGGTTTCTCTGTATCGCTTTGGAGACTGTTCTGGAACCAGCTCTGTAGACCAGGCTGGCCTGGAACTCAAAGAGATCTGCCTGCCTCTGCCTTCCGAGTGCGGGGCTTAAAGGCGTGCACCACAAACCCCTGGCTTGTTCTCGTTTTATTACCCATCAACTTTCCCTGGGCTCTCTACTTTCTTCACTTATTATTTGAAACACACTTGAAAAATCTAAATAGGAACTTTCACACGCATGCACACACGAGCACACACACACACACACACACACACACATTCAAAGATGGAGACATAGGCAATAAAATCAATATTCCCAATGATAGGAATAATATAAAGTCAAGTTAGTTAACAATATACCAAGTACGTGAGTAGGTGATAGAGATAAATGCAATTTCATGCAGCACCATTACAAAAACATCTTTTTTAATAGTAGTGTCATTTGGTTAATTCTATGATGAATCTGTGATGATATTGGCTATGTGTTCACTAACAGTTTCATCAAATTTTAGAGTATTTTCAGCATTATAGAAAAAAAAATCACAAAGGTAGCACAGAATGGCCTCCTGTGCTCTACACCTCCAGGAAGCCATTAGTCATGACTGAAGAGTAAAGTTGACTCCTTGAGTCTGTCTTCCACTCCGATATCCAGATGCTTCAGCTAATGTCTCTCTCTGCCCCTCCGTTTTGTAATCACATTGCCATCTGTTGTCACCTCTCCTTCGACTCCTTTCAGCTGCGACTTTCTAGAACCTCGACAGTTTGTGCAGAACAGAGTTCTGCTGGGATTTGTTTAGCTTTTTCATGTTTAGATAGGAGTTCGAGGTTTCTGTTCGGAACAGTGTTGTTGTTGCCTTGTTATTGTAAAGATTTATTTTGGTTTCATGTGTATGAGTCTTTTGTCTCCATGTATGTATGTGACCACGTGTGGGCAGCACCCCAGAGGCCAGAAGAGTCCCCAGGAATTGGAGCTAACGATGGCCCCATGTGGGTCCTGAGAATTGGATCAGGGTCCTCTGCAAGAGCAGCAAGTGCTCTTCCCTGCTGAGCCACCTGCCCATCCCTGAATAGCGCCAAGTTTATTGCGCAACACCCAAGGCACATGCCAGCAGGCTGAGTGCTCTGGCTTTGTTGCTGTTCACCTATCATCTGGTTAAAGCATCCTGTTAAAGTGCAGCCTCTCTCCTGTCAAGTAATGCACATGCTGAGAGGGTGTCTCAGAGGTAAACGGACTCTGCATTTACAGTGGGCAAGAAAGACAAACAAACAAAAACAACTCTGTCAGACATCTTAGCACTAATACGAGGCTCCATTTAAGGACCCCTAACAAATACTATAAAGAAAATGCAACGGATTAGGAAGTGAGATGGGTCAAATTCCAAACCAGTGTTAGCTTGAATATTCACTTCATAAAAGTGATACCGATTCCCCTGTCCCTGGCACACCCTGTATACATTCCTAGATCCTGCAGATATGCTGGATTTAAAGATTTTAGTCTCATTAATTGTAGCAAGAGGTTACTTATTACTCGTGTTTAATGCTTTCCTATATGCCATCCACTGAGCAATGTATGCAGCGCTGAAATGTTGTGGAAGATTTGATGTTGTCCCTGTAGCTTTAACCTGTTTGTCCGGTATGTCTTGTGTACGATTTTAAAGAGTTTGCAAAATACTAAAATGTATCTTCATGAATTTGATTCTGTGAAACTTGTCATTTTGAACGTGTACAATTTCTTACTTCCATGCTCATTCTACTTAGTAGTCTATTTCCATATTTTGTATCCCACCAATACATTTATTAGTGGACCACAGAGTTTCTGAGTACATGAATACACGACTAACCATGCTTGGCTGTTTCCTAATACCAAAATAACTGTGGGTACTCATAACTGAATAGATAATCCAGATTCTTTTTTCTTGCAGTGTAAGTTTCTCTAGGTTTTTATTCCATTGGGTAGGTTATATCATTTACCTGTGTACAATAATAGACTTCCTGAAAGTGCTACAATTTTTACCATGTAATAGATTTGAGCATGACGATAATGTAAGAAAACTCAGACGTCTCCTGCTAAGTGTATCTGAGTTTTCAAAGTAAATCAAATTAACAAGTTTTTCATTTAGCTATATTGTGGAATTTATGGATATTATTGTGAAATGCATATGCATTACACTGATTTTCTTAAGATGTTTTGAATTAATAAAGAGCTCTCCCATGTATCCTTAGGCAAGTTATTGTTTGCGCGTTGGTATACCGCTATCAGAGTGCAATGACTTCTGGGTGGATTCTTCACATCATTGTGTAACATTAAAGCACCGTTTATAAATAATAAAATATATTCTTGAAATAGCTGATGTCTTGAAGAGTGCAGTGGAGGGATTTCTCACAGTAAATTCAAAGTGATCTCACCATAATTTCTTTGGCTGAAAAAAATAACCTCAAAATTGAGTTTAGAGTGAGAAATATCTTTTCCTGATAGAAAACCACATGATACTTGGTAGAATCAAAACAAAACTGGTCCCAACTTCCATCTTACAACTAAACATCTACATAGTGCCACTCAAATACATAAGAATAATGGAAATTTGAGGTACTGAAATTGCTTGCTTTTATGTGAAGGACTTTATTTCTTGTATTTGATTCTAAGGATTGATTATATACGATGCTTAATTTGTTTTTGTTTTTTTTTTTGAAATTTTGTAATTCATAGTTTTAATTAGTTTTCACTTTAAGAGGCCATTATTTACCATTTTATTCTACCAGGAGGATAAGTTTGATCAGCAGTGAACCACCCCGGTACAAAAAAACAAATCAAAATCACAGCCAGTAATCGGATAGGGTTCCCAAGATTGGCTTGGCTGTATTTATTTACTTCCAGGCATCCACTTCTCTGTGGTTAAATCTTTTGAAGCTGCAACGCAGCAGTTAGCAGTTAAGGAGATGGGATTAATACGAGTGGCCGATCTGGCCTTGAGCAAGCTAAGCGAGTACTCCCCCTGTGAGGAACAACTCCAGAGCAGAAGGGAGGAAGGTGTTTTTGTTTCGTTTTGTTTTAAATCTAGAAACATTCTTATTTTACATATCAATCCCAGTTCCCTCTCCCTCCCACCCTCCCATGCCCCCCACCAGAACCCCCCCATCCCACCACCCCCATCCACTCCCCAGGGAGGGTGAGGTCTTCCATGGGGGATCATCAGAGTCTGTCACATCCTTTGGGCCAGGGCTCTCCCCTGTGTATCTAGGCTGAGAGAGCATCCCTCCATGGGAGATGGGCTCCCAAAATCCATTCGCGCACTAGGGTTGAATACTGGTTCCACTGTCAGAGGCCCCGGACAGCCCAGGTCTCCTAACTGATACCCACGTTCAGGGGGCTTGGTTCTGCCCAATGGTTTCCCCAGCATGGTCTTGACCGCTTTGCACATCCCGGGAAGGAAGGTTTTAAAAAGCATCCTCGGCCTGGGCGGGTCCAAGCTCGGCCCGGAGGCGGAGTCAAGGCTTTCGTATGGGCTTGGGGGCGTGTCCAAGGACTCAGAGCCACGCCCGAGGGCGGGGACAGATGCTCAGTTCCGCCTATGGGCGGAGCTGGGCCAGGCTTTCGTGAGAGCAGGAGGCGGGGCCAAGGCGGCAGGGCCACACCCTCTGAAGGCGGGGCCTGGGGTTCCGAGCTAGGATTGGAGGCGGGGCAAACGCCCGATCGCCCCGCCCCCTTAGCTTTTGACGTTTGGAAACCACACTTTGCCGGAAGTCCTCGCCACATTTCCGGCAGAGCTTTTAGGAGCCGGCCTTGAGCACCTGGCTCCGAGCACTTTGGAGATCCTTTCCTTGCTTCGGCTGCGGCGGGCGATCGGCCGGGATGCGGAGCGGGTTCCTGAGCGGCGCCCGGCGCCTGTGGGCCCTCCGCGGCCTCAGCCGCACTACGCCGCCGCCCGAGGAGCTCTTCGCCCGCGAAGGGCCCCTAAGGGCCTTCCTGGAGCGCCGTGCAGGCTCGGAGGCCGGGGATCCGGACGCCGCCGGGGGAAGTCGGCTGGCGGCGGCCGCCCGGATGCTCAGCGAGAAGGAGCGGGAGTTGCGGGACACCGAGCCCTTGCTGCACGGTAAGCCACCCGCTTCGGGAGCTATCTGCGTTCCCGATCTCGTCACTGGTGTCCCGGTGTCCTCCGGCAGGCTCTGCAGGGCTCCGCTGACACGGCGCTCTGCCCGTCAGTCCTCAAGTTACTGAGGTTCTTGGTTGCCTACGGTACCCTCCTGGCAGCTCATATGCTCAGGGAAAGACGAAGAAGTCCCTGCGACAGCCTCTGCTGCCCGGTGACTTTATAGTGTTGACCCATTGCACGTCTCCCTCCAGATTTCGCTGCATTCCAGGCTAAGCCTCCAGAGATGTCTGCCCGGTAGACCACACTTGGGATCTCCAGTCTTGATTCAGAGACCCTGTCATGTTGAATAAAATGGGAAGAGGGATTGAGGTTGATTCCTGACATAAACCCTGGGGCTCCACATTTACGTGTGCGCGCACATATGCAAACATGCATACTCTCTCTCTCTCTCTCTCTCTCTCTCTCTCTCTCTCTCACACACACACACACACACACACGAAAATGGGAATAAAAAGTTTGGATTTTTAATTTCAGTATAAAGAGGAGTGCTGAAAAGCAGAAAGTAGTATTTAAGTGGATCTCTAAAGGCAAGGAAGAGTTGGTTAGGTGGAATAGGAGAAGTGACTGGAAGGCCAGTGAGCTCGATTTGGATAAAGGTACCACCTGACCACCTGACAAGTAGGCATGGAGTAGGTATGGGAGATGGCATCGGGAAAGAAACATGAAACCAGGAAGACGAAGGATTAGAATTATTTCTGTACACCGTGGGCAGTGTCTTACATTTTAGGCAAAGAAGTGGCCTTATGTAGGGAAAGTTCACCGTGAAGCTGACTAGTGTGGAGAATAAGGGAGTGGGGAGTATGTTGCTTACTATCCAAAGCAGAGACAGTGGTAGGTAGTCACAGAGCTGGCCTGCAAGATGCTAAGAAAGATTTGGTGATTATGTCATAAAAATAGTAGGGTGGAATTACAATGGGGGGTGAGTTCATCATCACCAGAATGAGTTCTGTTTTTAATTTAAGCTAGGGATACAGAAGTTGAGTTTTGTTGAGGGGGGTGGGATAGAGCTTTGCCATTGAGTGAATACTTGGGTAGTAAAAATAAGCCTATACGGATACTGGTACAGAAGTCCATATTGGTCTAGGAGAACTACGGCAGAGGAGAAAGCTGTTGAGCCTGAACAATCAGAGAGGTCAGGGTAGATACTAAACGGTATTTCAGAGAGAAAAGAGTATGTAATCCCCTTTCCTAAGCTGCACACGTCCATAGAACAGAGAGACGAATGAGAAAGTAGATCTTTAAGTCAAAAGCGAGAACTCAAAGATAAATCAACCATAAAGATGAGAGGAATGTTATATGTAAACACTGGGCAAGCTCCAGCACATGCTCGGGTATGGTGCTTATTTTATCTGAAGGAAACAGTCACCGACACTAACTTTAGACTTAGCTGCTAAACCTCTTGTACCTCTTCTGGGCATTCTAACTAGTTAAATGTATATCCATTTGGTATTGTAAAGCCTAACCTGGTAAACCTAGCCTGTTTATTGGGGCTGGAGAGAAAGCATAAGTGTGACAAGCACTTGCTGCCCTTGCAGAAGACCCAGATTTTGTTCTCTGCACCTGTGTAGCGGCTTACAGCTGTCTGTAACTCTAGTCATAGTCATAGATGGTCCAGCACCCCATTCTGGCCTCTGTGGCCACAGCATACACTTGCTGCACACACATCCATGCAGGCAAGTCCTCACACATACCAAATAAAACCACCATACACTTGTGAAATTTAACTTTATGTGTATGAGCCATTTGCGTTCCCGTGCCCATGTGTACCATATGTATGCCTGGTACCCACAAAGGTGAAAAGAGGGTGTCAGATTCCCTGGAACCGGAATTAGAGACGGTTGTGAGCCAACGTGTGGGGTGCTGGCAACTGAACTTAGGTTCTCTGCAAGAGTAGCAAAAGCTCCTAATTGCTGAGCCATCTCTCCACCCCTGAAACTTAATTGCTGAGCCATCTCTCCACCCCTGAAACTTAATTGCTGAGCCATCTCTAAATCCGTGAAACTTAATTGCTGAGCCATTTCTCCACCCCTTGAAACTTTTTTGTACTCAAGTCTATTGTTACGGCTTTTGTGGAGGTGAATTCCACACTAATTAAGAAAACATATAATTGCTGCTCTTTTTCCTAGATGAGAATGAAGACTTAAGGAAACTTGCAGAGAGTGAAATAACTTTGTGTCAGAAAGAAATAACTCAGCTGAAGCACCAGGTATGGTATGTATACAAAGGATAAAACATTTATACCATTATTCTTTATGCATTTCATTATGAGTTTATAATAGAGTCCAGAAAAATAGCCTGATACTATTTAGATAGAACTTTTGTTGCTCTGTGTGTGTGTGTGTGTGTGTGTGTGTGTGTGTGAATATTTGTCTGCAAGTGTATTTGTACACCACAAACATACCTGATGCTGTTGGAGGCCAGAGAAAGGTTTCACATCCCTTGGAAATGGAGTTACAGAGACTGTAAGTTGCCTGTTGCCTGATGTAGGTTCTGGAACTGAACCCAGGTTGTCTGGAAAAGTAGTCATTGCTCTTAACCACTGAGCTATATCCATCTCTATAGACTTTTTTTTTTTTTTTAGCTCTTGTCTGTCTTACTGGGGTACAAGTGACACTTTTATCTATTGGAGGACTACAGTGTAATGTTTCTCTAGTATGCACACTCCCTGAAGGGATTACCAGTGTCAAAGGGAATTTTAAAGCAGAAAAAGATATGCTTCCTATCTTCCAAGTTTTTCATGCTACAGGAATTGTATACTGTACAGCTCTCACTGATAAATTCATGTGCCAGCTCTTAGTGGGAAGGCAAAAAGACAAGACAAATCTTCTTTTGCTTCTTTTTTTTTTTCTCTCTCTCTCTCTTTTTCACTGTAGACAGACAGTGGAAAGGAACGATTATAGAATGACAGCAAACTAAACTTCCTAGGGGCAAGAACATGGCTTTTATGTTCGCATTGATGGAGTACCAGTCCTAAACATCCAAAATCAAGTTTTCTTTCCCATGTTAAAGAAGCCTAACTGACAAATGCAAGATGAGGCCCTCTGTTTTCCTTCCATATTAGCCCTGTATTTCAAGAGAGGAGATTTCCTTTTGCATTCTACAGGAATTCTACAGGAATTCTACAGGAATTCTAACTTAATTCCTGCTCCAAGCATTTAATCCCAACTACCTGAATAGGGAGTTGATAGAATGCACGTAAGATTCCCAGTGTGGAGGGTGGGAGTATAGTTATTATTGGGTTTGTCCAGCATCACGAGGCCCTGAGTTCAGTCCCCAGTACCACATACAATCTGGTGTGGTAGTTCACACCAGTATTACCAGCACTGCGGAGATGGAGGCAGGAGCATCCAAAACACAAAAGAAAGAATTCTAAGAAGCAAGAACAAACCCATCAAAAGTAGACGCATTTTATACTATTTAAGATGTAACTGAAAATCAGTACCTTAATAGAAGTTATGCATTATACATTTTTAGTTAGCAAGATAAGCACACGGTATTGAAGAGCAGTATTAAATGATGTGTTTAAAGGAACGTAGGTTTCCTATCCGAATTCTCTAATTTTGTAGCTTCGGGCATTAGGTCGAATAGTTCTTAGTTACGGGAAGGTGCTGTCTTTGTGTTTACAGATCATTTCACTTCTGGTTCCTTCAGAAGAAACAGACGAGAGCGACCTGATCCTGGAGGTGACTGCGGGTGTGGGTGGTCAGGAAGCCATGCTTTTCACTTCCGAGATGTTTGACATGTACCAGCAGTACGCTGCGTTTAGAAGATGGCATTTTGAAACCCTGGAATATTTCCCAAGTGAACTAGGTCAGTCTCTTAGTTAGTTGCTGCTGCTGTGATAAACAACGCCATGACCAAGAGCAGCTTAGGGAAGAAAGGGTTTGTTGCATCCTTCAGTTTACAGTGCCGTGAAGGGAAGTCAGGGCAGGAACTCCAGGCTGGAATGTGGAAGCGGGGACTGAAACGCAGGCCATACAGGAAAACGAACCGATTAGTGCAGTTGACTAAGTAGTTACATGCTCGCTATTTACCTAGTGGTCTAATAAAAATATAATCTTGAAATGTCCTATACAATACGATAGAAAGCCATTCCATGATAATCACCTGCAGCTTTGAAAAGTGGTTTTAGGATTCTGGGCTCACATCTGTAATCCTGGCACCCAAGAGACTGAGGCAAGAGAATTACACTGTTCAGGACTAGCCTGGACTACAGGAGACCCTGTCTCAATAAGAAACCAGAACGGTGGTCTTTTAGCTGTTACTGATGTGAACTCATCAGCACTATAATTTAATAACGGAACACAAAAGTTGTGTATTAAGATGCTGGAAAGCTGGCTCAGTGGTTAAGAGCCCTTGCTCTTGCAGGGGACTTTGATTCAGTTCTCAGCTCCCATAAATCCATTCCCAAGGGGTCTGATGCTGCTTTCTCACTCCGCATGCACCTGGCACACATGTGTTACACATCCACACATGTACAGAGTTATAAAATACTCAGCCATAAGGTTAAATCTTTTAAACAGTTAAAGATTATATATTGAAACATTGAATATCAAAGGCATGCTAAAGTTTTGTGATGTGCTTATACTCTATACTTTCTGGCTCTTTTAACTCTGTTTCATGAGAAAACATGAGACGGTCGATTATTTATGCATGGTAGAATGGTAAAAAGAATTCAGTTCTTCCTGTGTTTTCAAGGCGGCCTGAGGCATGCGTCGGCCAGCATTGGAGGTCCGGAAGCCTATAAACTCATGAAATTTGAAGGAGGCGTGCACAGAGTCCAGAGAGTGCCGAAGACAGAGAAGCAAGGCCGAATCCACACCAGCACCATGACAGTGGCAATTCTGCCCCAGCCTACTGAGGTACAGCATAGTTATGGAGCTAGCACAGGGCCACTCTCCAGCAACTGTAACCTTATCATTTGGATTTTTCTTGCACATTCTGAGTTACTCTTGAAAATTTGATTCAAGAAATGTAATTTTGCAACAGATGGTAAAAATGAAAATGTTTATACGTTGTCCAGGTTACACTGGATTCTGTCTCCATCAGTAAAGGGTATTGCAAGCCTCCCTCACGGGTCAGGCAATACTAACTGTTGAACTGGTTGCCTGCCTCACTTTGCATTGCAGGGTAGGCTCTCCAGGTGCCATCTGCAAAGGGCTAGTCACTCAGCACAGTTGCTCCTTTCTGACCCAGCTGGGTTAGAAGGGACCTGAGTGCGTGTCTTACCTCACAAAGCAAGTTCCCTGTCTGTTTGAAAAAGACCTGTTTTGTTCATTTCTCTTCTGCTGAAAGTGACAAGTTAATTCACTAAAAAAGGGACTATATGAATGAGGTGAGGGTTTCTAGCTACTATTCTTCTTTTTTTTTTTTTTTTTTAAGTACTATTTACATGTATGCTAGACTTGGAAGGCTTTCATTCCGTGTGTTTAATATCTGTGAGAAGCCCGATGGGGAACAGAACTGCTGAGGACAGGCAACAGAGTCAATGTCAGGAGCCCTGATACTATCGGGGACCCAGGAGTGAGGGCTAGGTCCTCTCTAGCTCTTCTAGCCACTCTGAGAGGGGTTATCTTACTGCAGGATGATTGACATGCCATAGAGCAGTCTCTAGTTGTTCAGGGAACAGACTTTTGAAACATGGTGCTTCTGATGGTACTACTGGGATGAAACGTGGTGTTTCTGGTGGTTTTGCTGGGATACGGCTCCATTCTGTTTGATTGCAGTGTTCACGGAATGTATACCCCAGGCTTCATGATCTTTGCCTCCAAATTATATTTGCAATACTTTAAAAACCACATCTCCTCTCTCCCTAAAATAGTTACATGTACTAACATGGCTATTGTTTTTTTTGTTTCCTCTGCTGAAGTCTTTGAATTCAGCAAAATTCTACATCATCTTCTTTTCGTTCGTTTGTTTTTTTTTTTTTTTTAATGTGATTATGTGTGTGGATCGGTGTATATGGAGGCCAGAGGAGGGCATGGAGCCACCAGAGCTGAAGTTAAAGGAGGCTGGGAGTCACCTGATGTGTTGCCCAAATTCGTCCTCTGCAAGGGTAGCATATAGTCTTCACCATCCCTTCAGCCCCAGTTTCTCATTTTTAACTGTCCCCATATCATTTGTGAGGCAAAAAGCTCAACTTTTGAGGATTAGGGACTGTTGCGTTTGTTCCTTATTCATTTAAAAAAGAAAAAAATTAAAATAGTATCCTAACTACTGTCTATTCTTAAACCGTCTTTAATGAGAATTCTATGTATAACATGTATTTACACTGTGTAGGTCTCACCTGAAGACAGTTGGCACATGCAACTTTGTTTTGAAGTTCCCACTTTTCTTTGTCTATGTAGATTAAACTGGTGATTAATCCTAAGGATCTGAGAATTGATACTAAGAGAGCAAGCGGAGCTGGGGGCCAGCATGTAAATACCACAGACAGTGCCGTTCGGATTGTTCATCTTCCTACAGGTATGTGCGGAGCTGATCAACGTGAGACTCTAAATCAAGATCAGTTTCCAGGGCACTGACTGGTTTCCCCCTGAAGCAGACCTTCAGTTACCAAAAGAAAGGAAACTATTATGGGCTCTTAACTAATCACTTGATTCTGTAGATTCTGTAGCTGATGTTATGCAGGATAAAGACAAAGTCAGGAAGGGGGAGGGCAAGCATGTAGTTGCCATGTAGTTACTACATGCCACCTGCCAATTGGGTTTTGAAATATACACTTAATCGATTTCAGGATTACCAAAGAAACCTCAGTGAGATAATCACTTGTATTATTTATCAGAAGACGTTCTACATCACTAGTTATTAGCCTTAGGTGTAAGATATTAACAAGGACCTCAGAGACAATAAAAGCATTGGACTTCCTACACAGAAACACGATACATCTATGTGGTTTCAGGAGCGTCTTGCCATTGAGGCTGTAAAGTACAAGGCAGTTTGAATCTAGGTAATTGGGCAAAAAGATTGTGCACTGCCCAGTAGAGCCGGGCTTTCAACTGTTACTAGAGTACTGGGGTGTCTTGTGAGTGACAAGGACGCCTGCTTTAATGCTTCAGGCTTCCCTTAACTAGAACAAATTGTCATAGTTCTGTTAACCAGTAGTTAAGGAGACTGGAGAGCAGGTAAGATTTTGTCATTTTAACTTCAGAAAAGGGTTAAACTTTGAGGTGATAAGTGAGGACTATGAATAGAAATAGATAAGATAAAAAAAAAAGGGAAACAAATAATATTCTGTTAATTCTAATACTAGGATTTGTACTGCTGTATATGTTCATTTTTATAAGGTTTGTAAAGATTTTGATAGCTAACCAAGGATGTGAAAATGGCCTGTATTTAAAATAGTCTTCTGTTAGATTGTTGATTTATCTCATAAAAGAAAAGGAATAGCCTTTGATAATAAAGATTTTTGTCTTAACCTTCTATAATTCTCATAACATGATTCAGGTGTTGTTTCTGAATGCCAGCAAGAGAGATCTCAGCTGAAGAACAGAGAGCTGGCTATGAAAAAGTTACGCGCAAGGCTATACAGCATGCATCTAGAAGAAGAAACTACTAAAAGATACAATGCTAGAAAGATCCAGGTAAAAATGAATTAAAGAAACACAAAGACAAAATACTTATGGGTACTGTAGTTTTTATGTTATTACTATTCTTGTTTTTATTATAAGGGCAGTACCTATGTCGAGCTTTATTCTATTTTTATAGGCAAAGGGATTTTTCTTAAATTTGTCAGCATTTACCAAGTCCCAGCTCGGCTTTAGTCCTTTGAACTAACTAGTGGAGGCAAGAATACTGGGAACAGGCTGCACACAACCCTTCCACGACTTCTTTAGTGTGACCACCCATCACCCTGTCACTACCCCTGGATGACAGGAATTCCCAGAGGTATAGACACATAACACGTACACATTAGTATGCTGCTTCTACTGTTTAAATATCAGCCATTTGCCAGACTCAGTCATTATGTCATCAGTATTTCACGGATGGGAAATTAAAGTTTAGACTTCAGCCATAGAGAGTTGAAGGGCAGGGGCAGGTCTGGATGCTGTATCTGATTTTAACGTCTACCCTCTTTTCTCTGTACCATTCCTCCATCCCATCTGGGAATCAGGACTTAGAGACTTGGTTCTTGCATTGCTGTAGGCGTCCTGGATCCTAATGCATCTCGTATCTGTTTCCTTAGGTTGGAACTAAAGGAAGATCAGAGAAAATAAGGACATACAACTTTCCACAGAACAGGGTCACAGACCACAGAATAAACAAGTCACTGCATGACCTTGAGAGCTTCATGCAAGGAGACTGCCTTCTGGATGACATGATCCAGTCACTGAAGGACTATGCGGATTATGAGTCTCTAGTGGAAATCATTTCCAGAAAAGACTAAGTGCTTCATAAAGCTGTTTCTACATAGACTAGGAAAATCCTGGAGCAAATCCATTGTGTGCAAAGACTTAACTGGTATTCTCTTGAGGAATGGAAGTTAACAGCTTCTTGGACTCTTCTCTATAAAAAAAAATGAGACACAAAGGAAGACAGTTGTTTTTATGCAAAATATTTAATAGGTGATGAAAAATTTCAAATACTAAGCAGAAATATCTATGTCAATGCACTGTAAAGAAACAGAATCTGACAGTGGAATTAACTAGGACTGAGAGAGTGACCTACATGAAGTTCTGAGCGAAAGCACACCCTTACAGGATGCTCCATTCCACACGCTAGAGATAGAGGGAGGCCTGTGTTAGGGCATGGCACAGCCTACTTAACGGTGGAAGGGTTCCTGGGTTCCTTGCAGCTGGTAGCATGGGCCTTCCAGACAGAGAACCTCAAGCCCATGGGGCATGGGAAGCAAAAAGCCTCCTGTTAAAGTGTGAGCAAAATTTACTGGATTATAAGCCTTGTCGGGCTCTTAAATCAATACCCCAGAGAAGTGGAACCAATAGGGTGTATCGACACAGATTCACTAGAGGGTGGCCCCACGGAGACTACTGTGTGTCCATCTTCCCGGTGAATCAGCTGGGTGGAGACCAAGGAGAGAGGATGGCTCACTTGACTTCAGAGGGAATTTGCTGGGGAATTCCTTCTTGATTGGAGGAGGCTAGGTTTTCTCTCCTCAGACCTTCAGCTTGCTTGGGCAAACACGATAGCATAAAAGGCAATCTAGAGCCAGGCATTGGTGGCACACGCATTTAATCCCAGTGCTTGGGAGGCAGAGGCAGGTGGATCTCTGAGTTCGAGGCCAGCCTGGTCTACAGAGCTAGTTCCAGGACAGGCTCCAAAGCAATACATAGAAACCCTGTCTCAAAAAAGAAAGAAAGAAAGAAGGCAGTCTAGATTAAATGATATTTTATTGGATTAAATGTCAGTGTCATCCAAAAATTAGGAAGATCCAAAATACTGTGTTAACAAATACCACTGGTAACAGCAAGCCAAATTTATGAAATAAACCATTATGGTGTTCAAGAGTACCCTTAGATGCTGTGCTGTGGAAGAAATGAAAAGTCCAGTCACTCTTATTGTATCTCTTTAACACCTACCTCTGATACACTTCACATACTAGCAGTAAATTAAGGCTGCATAGTTTAAATGTTTCCCCTCCAAAACCCAGGTGTTCCCAATACGTTAATATTAAGTATTGCAGCTTCACAAGTAAGGTTTTAAAAGTCCCTTCTGAATGGGACTGAAGTCTTTCAACTTCAGTCTAATACCCAGAGTTACTGCCCATCTTCAATAATGTTTTCATTCATTTAGGGTCTGAATTAAATTGCAAACATTTCACTCTCATACATGTCAACTGTCACTGCATGTATCATCACAGGCCAAAATTCATGGTAAATCCAAAATAACTGCAACTAATAGTTCCGGTTTCTCTACTTCAGATGTGTTAGAGCTGACTCAATCAAACTAAGATCCAATATGTACATAATCCAGGAAGTTTACCTTTATCAGAGCCCCGATTTTTAAGACTCTGCACTGGATTTTCATCTATGAAGATCAAACTAGGTATTTTGGTACAATGTGAGTTGTTTGTTACGATTAGGACTTGGCCACTTTAAACTACCCATGCCTTTTCTTGTGACTCAGCACTGTTGTCAAAAATTCCTATTGAAACGGATTACTGTTCCATGCAGCTGTTACTAAGGATTTAAGAGCCTCTAGCCTACATAATAAAGGAATTATGAGGTACTTTGCAGATTTGCTAGAATCAGCAGTAGTCTAAGTTTTTAGGAACATATATAATATGCTTCTCTTAAATAATATATATTTAAAACCTAATTTCCTTCAGAACTCAGCTTGTAATTTCAGGACACTTATTTTATACTGTTGTACTGAGGATTTACTATCTCACTATTGGGAAGTAAGTAGCACAATACCATTAATGATAGGCAAGGGCTTTCAAGCTGCCTACAATATTTAACACAGAAAGCAGGTAACATGAACAGAATCCCTCCCCCCTAATCTCATGAAAGGTACTTTACCTTTAAGAACACGTTTAAAATCTGCTTTCTATATGTATGGGTGTTTTTCATGCATGCATGTTTATATACTATGTGCCTGCAGTACCTATGGATACCAGATTAGGATATCTGATTCCCTGGGATTCTATAGTTGTGAGTTGCCAGAGGGTGTGGGAATCAAACTCAGGTTCTCCGCAAATGCAGCCGTAGTGATTATCTTGGGGACAGGGTCATTCATAGTCCTCGAATGGTTGATGCAAATGTCCCTTAGATGACTGTGTTGTCAATTCTATAACATTTCTGAAACAGGAAAGTTGTTGGTTTGTAGTCTTGGCTGTCCTGGAACTCATTCTGTAGACCAGGCTGGCACTGAACTCACAGAGATCCTCCTGCCTCTGTGTTCTGAGTGCTGGGAATAAATGCCTGCACCACCACTGCCTGGCCTTGGACTCCTAAATCTTGTCTAAATGTTGTTTTTGCTTTTTCACCTTCTTAGTTCCCCAAGAATCCCTTCCCCTTCCCCTGGAGGCTTCAAAAGTCTGCACTCTTGACTAGCTCTGAAGCCTCAGTAACCAACCACAGGGAAATTTGACTTAGACTTCTAAACACGATCATTATAGAGTGAAAATAGTGCTAAGATCATTGAATCATGGCAAGCAAATACCATCCTTTTGCTTGTCCCTCCTCAGCATTCTGATAGGTTTTCACTGCCTCCAAAACCCAACCTCATCACTGTGCACACAATCCACCAGTGGTCTGCACTGTTATTTCCCACTTCTCTGTTAGGTAGTGTATTTTACACAACCATTTCCCTTGTACAGCATCTAAAAAAAAAACAAAACAAAACAAAACTATTTTTCGTTTTTCATGATGGTTTCTCTGTAGCCCTGGCTGTCCTGTAACTCAATTTCCTGCCTCCCAATAGCTGGGATTAAAGGTATGTGCAAATTAGCTAAAAGCCTTGTGCAATGTAATCAGAAGAAATGTACAACTTCACATGGAAATCTGCAGGGTACTACTAGATCTAATTCCTTTTCTGACCCCCTTGCTTGAGCGGTAGGCATGTTTTATACAGTGTTTTGCAAGCTCACTTAAATATTCAAAGACAAACAACTAATCATTCAAAATTCTCAATTCTTGCCTCTTTTTTACAGTTCTTTTTAACACTCGAATTCGTATCCATTTTCATTTGCTGAAATTTTTGATTGGCAGTATCATTCTCAATAGTAAAAACAAACAAACAAAAACAAACAAACAAAAAAAACTCCTAGAAAGACTTCCATAGTTTCAGCCGTTTACACTTAGAAGCTCAATCAACAAAAAATGCTGCCAAAATGTTGGTAAACAACACCATAACTATTTTTATGCAACATTTTCAAACGTGAAAATACCAGAAAACTTGGGACGAACAAAGAATTTAGGAAAAAAAAAAAAAAAAACTGGATCCACTCAGCACTTGTACGACTCAGTCTAGTTTTGGCCCCGCCTTAAACAGGAGCTGTCACCGACTGCATGGGAAGTTTACTGAAAGTCAAATACTCTTGCAGAAAAGCAAGCGGAAAATGGCCAGTGGAGGGGGTGGGCTTTCCTGGGAGAGAGCATCCTGCAGCTTTAGAGGGCGCCATATTCTGAAACCAGCCCGGTGTGTTGTATTGTCACCACTTAGAAACAAACTCAGGGTGTGCAGTGCCCAGCATCATTAGTGGCGCACCACCGCTTGTCATCAGACTTAATAACACATCCACTCAAGCCCTTGCTACGCAAATATCCACCTAGCTAGGGCTCCTCTAGCCCAGAGAAGTGGGGAGCTCGACTTATTTGGGGGAGACAGGTGTGCTGTCTTGCGCTTAACCTACGAAGGGAAAAGCGCAAATACCAATTAACATCGTAAGATTTCTTTCCGGTTGGAAACTCAAAGGGATGCTGTGGCACAGACTAGAGATCCGGCCACCGGGAGGTGCGGAGCAAAGCAACGCGGGAGTCCCGCGGCGCGCCATCCCGAGGCGAGGGCAAGGGCGGTCCTCCCGCAGCCATCTGTCCCGCCTCGTCCTCCCGCCTGCCCGCCCCGCCCGGAGGGAACCGCCAGGCCCCGAGTGCGCAAGCGCCAACCCGCCAAGCCCGCAGCGCGGCCGCCGAGCAGGGCGCAGGCGCCGAGGCTCCAGGCGAGGGGCGGAGCCAATTTAGGAGGGAGAGTGGAGCGCGCCTAAATCCTAGAGAGGCGGGTCCGGAGGCGGAGGGGAAGGGGCCGCGCTCCGGAAGGTCTGCACTTCGCGTGGCCGGTTTGGCGCTCACCGCACCCGCACTTAGCACACGATGGAGGAAGACACGGGCCCCGTCCGTGCGCATCGCAGATCTCCAGGCAGAAGTCGCAGCTGTCCGCAGGCCACGAGGACTGGCGGGAGACCGGTTCGCGGGATGGGGGGGTGGGGGCGCGGCGGGTCTGCGCAGGCGCCCCGCCCTCGCAGGCTCCGCCCCCAGGGCCTTAGCCACACCCTCCGCGTCTTTGGGGAGGCGCGGACGCGGGCGGGTGGGAGGGGCCGGGGCTCCACGGCCGGCTCCGCCCCCGCGGCCTCCTATTGGCCGAGCGAGGGCGTCCCCCCCATGCCGCCTGCCTATTGGCGCGCGCGTGCGGACGCCGCGCCCCATTGGTCTGCTCTGACTTGGGCACCAAATTCAAAGATTTTAAAAGTACCAGCTGGCGCGCCTTTTAAGAGCTGGAGCTCGGCGGTGCCGGTCGCATCTTCCCAGTGGTCGCCGCCGCTGCCGCTGCCGCCGCCTGACCTGCGTCGGGGCCCGCGTTCTCCGGCATGAACCGACGCGCTTGCAGCGGGCTGCCCAGGCCGTCCCCCTGCCCCTGCGGCCTCGGCGCGCGGACGGTCGCGGACGGTGAGTGAGGCGGGCGTCGTAGGGATCCCCGACCGACCGGGTGCATGCAGATCGCGGGGTCCCGGGGCGGAGGGGAGTCGGCTGGTGCAGAGGGAGGGTGGACAGACGGGGCCCGGCGGGCACGGGGTCCGCCCGTCCCATCGCGTCCAGGTCGCCCGCACCGGGGACGTGCAGGTGGTGGCTTCTGCGCGCGGGATTCCACCCCCCCTGCATGGGCGCCAAATGCTCCCTCCCCTCCCCCACCCGTCCCCTTGCTGTGACAGGGCTTTGGGCTCCCAAGCTTGCCAGGTGCCCCATCTCCTGCCCCTACACCCCCCTTTTCTCCCCCACAGTTGTTTAGCTGCCTCACATAATCCCGACTCAGTTTCCCAAAGTTTTCTCCCTCAGCGCCCTGGCCGGAGAGCGCGGGAGATTGAGCTCGCGCTTGCTTATCTCCCGCCCTCGTGCACCGCGCCCTCGGGGCATCTCCCACCACCCACCCCTCAGCGTTTATTTCTAGGGGCTCCCGCCAAATGTAGAGCCCACCCCTCTGCCCACCCTACCAAACTCAATGGGAAAAGATTTATTTTCTCCCCCCCTTTTTTTTTTTAACTTCTCTCAGTCTCAAGGCCTGGAGTCCTCAGGGGAGGGTTTTGAAAGCGCTCTCCCCCCGGGGGGGGGGAAACCAAAAAAAGCATGAATTGGCCTTTAATGCTTAGTTGGTGAGAATCAAACAAGAGTTGCCCCCCATCCCCGATTGAGTTAATTAATGGTCACTTGTTTCAAAGCCTGTATGAGAGTTGAAAAATTCAGTTGCTTATATATGTATTTTTTAATCTGTCTTTGTTGGCCTCAGTGAAAGCCAGGTGCATCTATTTTACCCTAGAAATTATCAAAACTGAAGGATAAAAGCAGTTCTTTGGTAATATTTCCTTCATCAGAAAAGGAATTAAGTCTTGAGGGGTAGAAACTGCTAGCTAAGTGGCTTGTGTTTGTAAAAGGTCCTGACTCCTATGTGAATAGTTTTCGTTCACAGGAGATACCATGCTGCCTCCAAGTCCCCTCCCGGACTTGGTTACAGCTTTAAAGGAACTTTTTATAAATGAATTAGTGGATTTCAACATTTTTCCATGTGGGCTTTCTCTTGAGAATTACACTTTCAGTCACCTTTCCTTGGGCTGAGACTGAAATTTGGTTAACATATGGAAGAGCTAGATAGACTTTATCGACAATTTTTTAGAGTGTTTGATTTGGAGTGTAAAAGCCGGTATTCTTTAGTTGAATCAAAGGTCAGACTGAGTGCACTCTATAACTATTAAACCTCTCCCCTCCCCCACCCAAGCGCTTGGACCGAGGAGTGGTGATGTGATTTTTATCTGTAGGTTCTTTTTAAGGAAAACCAAAATATCCTAATAGAATCATCTGGTTAGGAAAGTTCACCAGAGATTGTTTTCATTTGAATGTTTGCTTCCTAAATTTGTACTTGTGGAATTTATCTTGATTTTTTTCAATGAAACAATGTGAGAGTGTGGCTTAATGTGAGCGATGTGACAGATGCTATTGGTTAGATGATGGCTTTATTTAATACAGTCTGCCCCATTTTGTGGATGGGAAAACTAAGGCTATAAGGGTTAACTGTTTGTCATTTCCTCCTTAGTAAGAGATACTCTATATGTTAACTGTTGGAGTCTTAAACCACAGAATATTTTCTTATTCTATTTAACAACACACATCCTGTGCATTAGCTAATCGGGGTCCAGTTGTCTTTACTTTCTACTACAGACTTATACCCCAGTCCCCATTGGGGACTTATCTAACCTTAATTCCATGTACTTCCCTACAGTCCACCATTGCCAATGCCTTGTGACTTTTTCAAATTTCTTTTTAGGCAAATGCACAGGTTTGGTCTGCCTACCTCTAAAAGAAGATCACACTTAATACCTAACTTCCTCCCTAATCTATCATTAAGTGGGCAGCAGATGAATGAAGTGGCAAAACTAGACATGTGCCCCACATTGATTGATTGGGGGGTATGGAATCAGGTGATATGCCTTTACATGAACAGAATACAAAGTATTTCTTAAACACTTAGCTTGATCTTAGGAAAGTTCTTGATCTAAGATGGATTGACATATATATGTCTTCTGATGCTTCTTCTAATTTAGACGATAAACAAAGAATCCTGTAGTCTGGATAAGTTTTTTTTTTTTTTTAATGATGCCAACATGTGATCATGAGAGCAAAATTAGAACAGTTTTAGCCAAAAATTAAATCTCCCTGGACTAAGGTTTGATGCCAAAGCTGTTGCACTATAGTGTACTTGTTCCTGGAAGTCCTGTCTCAGACAAATGAGGAACTGCATTGGGCATTTCCTGACCTGACTACGGGGTATAATGGGATTGGCATAGCCAGACCTGAATGAAGTTCAGTGTGCTTTCCCACCAGCTTACCCCCTGTGCCCAGTCACCAGAACCCACACAGAGATAGAAAGAAGAAAGCCAACATCCTAGATTGTCCCCTGGCCACATAATAACAAAAGTGGGTCAGGGCACTTCATTCCAAGGAAGTCTATGGAAATAACGATAAGTAGATGAATGTGGTGTCCTGGGACAGGTGGGGACAGCTAAAGAAACATGTAACCACAGATTGGTGAATAGTTTTGGGTTGATACTCTGTTAATTAGGACATGCACACCATGGTGTTGATAATGTGTTCATTTCTGTTACTGGACACTTAAGGACCCTGGTGTTTGGTGTGAAATCCTGGGTTCTGTGCCCAACAAGTTGTAGGGCATGTTAGCACAAAAGTGATTTTTATTGTTTCTTGTTTTCTTTTTGTAGCTTGTAAAGAAGAAAGCCCTATTCTTTCCTTTAAAATGAAGTGTTTTAATTGCGACCCTGATCTTTCTGAACTTGAAGTGGTAAAACCTGAGGACAGCGGGAGACAAGGTTCCTTCGACTCTGTGTGTTTGGAGCCGTCCTGTAAGGACTGCTTTAGAAACCAAGAAAGGCTATCTTTTATAGAGTCACCAATTGTGGGACATGATAACAAGGAAAATCAACGCATACAGAAAATACTCAATAGTCCCGGTGACCTGGAAGAGCTGGAGGCCAGCAGACTGTATGAAGACAGTGGCTATTTGTCCTTTTCCCATCAAAGTGGCCATGAGGACGGCACCCTGATTCTGGAGAACTTAAAGAACAGTCCCCAGCCCTGCCTCCCGGCATCACAGAGCTCAGACCAGTATCCCAGCAAAACCCTGCTGCCTGCCCTGCATTTTGAAAGAGTAGTCTGCTCAACATTAAAGAAGAATTCCAAGCGAAACCCTAAAGTGGATCGAGAAATGCTGAAGGAAGTGATCGCCAGTGGGAACTTTAGACTGCAAAATATAATTGGCAAGAAAATGGGTCTGGAGCACTTAGATATCCTCACTGAGCTCTCCCGGAGAGGATTTAAACACCTTTTAGATAATATTTTAACGAAGCTCAGTGACATGGACTTAATAAAGTGAGTGTGTTGCATACTGCATGTATTAATTAGATATGATAAACACGGGGTCCACTTGAGCAGACTAGTGTAAAGCAGCCTTTAACAGAGCTGGCTTGGGTCCTATGGCATTAGAAACAAAGGGAAAGGGAAACCTGTGTCTATTCTGGGCGCTTTGAATTTTGTAGTCTTCCTATTAGAAGTATATATTCTGTATGGAATCATCTGGCTTGCTGAAGTGAAACTGAGTGGGTGTGTTGGTTGCTGTAATCAGCATTGTGGAGTGTGCCATTTCAGTTACCATAAAGGGTTTTCAAAATCTATTACAAGTAGCCTGGAGTCCTGTTATCAAATAGCTAATGTGGAAATGCACGCTGGGCCTGTCTGAAATTGGTTCTCCAGAAACTAAAAGATAGTACAATAGAAGCTTGACATTTTAACATTTTGGCCCTTTGGTAGTCTGGTAGTAGACTAATAACTAGGCTTGGTCATCTGAGCATTTTCGATGTTCAGTCGGGTTAGCAAAGTTTGCACTGGACTATTCTCGTTCATCTTAGCATTTTTGTCTCCTTTGCTTCTAGTTTGTCTAAAGTGAGCAGAATTTGGAAGAAGATATTAGAAAGCGATAAAAGAGCGTTCCAGCTATACAGCAAGGCCATGCAGAGAATCCTTGTAAGTTCTTCTAAGTGGTGTTTTCTTGAAGTGTCCTTTAGAGAAAGAGACATTTTATGGCTGGGTGGTGGTGGTGGCAGCAGCAGCACACGCCTTTAATCCCAGCACTTAGAAGCAGGTGAATTTCTGAGTTCAAGGACAGCCAGGGCTCCTTGAAGAAAAAAAAACAACAAAAACAATTCTTTGTAAGCCCCTTAGATTCATAGAACACACCAGCCTCCAGGGGCTGGAGAGAAAGAGAGGGCGGTGTGTACAGGGAGGGCTTCTTAATTAAACAAGTTTTGGAAACTTGCACTGCAGGAAAGCTGCAGTGTGCAGACTAATTTCAAAATAAAGGCCGCAGCATGGGTGGTGTGTGTTAACTTGGTCAGTTACAAGAAAAACTGAGTTATCACATTACTGGAGAGTCTTGTACAGAGCAATGGTTCTGAACCTTCCTAGTGCTGTGACCCTTTAACACGGTTCATGTTGTGGTGACCCCCCAATGGTAAAATTATTTTCATTACTACTTCACAACGAATTTTGCTACTGTTATGAATCAGAATGTAAATACCTGATATGCAACCCCTGTGAAAGGGTCATTTAATCCCACCCCCAAGGGGTCACAACCCACAGGTTGAGAACTGCTGGTATAGGGGAAGTGTTGAATTTTTGATAATTGTAGTGTTTCTGACAATGATCAGTGTAGGAATGGAAGTTGAGGTCTTACAGTTGGACCTATTTAACAAACAAACATGCTGTTACTTAGCCCGGTGACTTTAGATAAGGGATACTTACATTCTGTGTTGTATCTATTGGTCATGGGAGTCCACTTAAAGGGTTACCTTAAAATGTGCCACTAAGGTAGGGTGGTGGCAGATGTCTGTAATCTGGGAATCTTGGAGGCTTTGAGAAGTTTGACAACAGCCTGAGCTGTATCTTGACCTCTAAAACCTGTACTAATTACGTTTGCTAACTGACCACTGCCACCTACTGGCGGTGGGAAGGACGACCATTTGTTCTGTGAGCAGGACTGGTCTTGGTTAGTTTAAAGGCACCTTGTATTCCTCATAGGCTCATCCTGGTTTCTGTTTTAGAATGTTTCTGTGCTTAGCTCTGTTGGGCTGTATGTAAACCTGCAGATAACGCGCGGCTGGATATACCATTCCTGTTTGATTCTTTTACCAACTGCAAATCTATTAAACCCTTCCAATCAGGAAAACAGTAAGTTGTCACTACATGCTTCAACCAGAGGATACGTTGTGTGCAGAACTGCACTAACTTCTGTTCAAAAGTCATCGACTTGGGCTCCTCCCAAAAAAGATGCTCCAGCCAAGTTCCCCAGGCAGCGTGATCAGAAAGGCTCTGCCTTCAGCCGGCACAGTGAGTTCCTCGAGGTAACTGTCGAATTGGTAATTATTAGCCATGGGGGGGGGGGGCTTACTGACCAAGGGAGTTAGCTGACAATAAGCAGGGCTTCAAAGTTCACTACAAGGTGTCTAATGTTTGCTACTCAGTGAAGTCGCCATTGTTGAAGAGGTCACATCTTCTGTCCTCTTTGTTTATTCTAAGTGACCTTGAAATTTCTCAAACTAGTCCATGCTTCATTTTGTGATGACTACTGTCCTAAGGACAGACGGGCCTTTCAGAAAAGCACGCCTTCGCCTGTTGTTCCTTGTGGTACAAATAGTAAAAACCGTGAACCGTGTGTGGGGGGGGGGGTAGATACATTGGAGGCATAGCGTCCTTCTTGGTTTAGTTACCAAATATCATTTAGTACACTAACATACGTGTATGGATTTTTTCCCCCTTCTAGATGGCCAAGACATTAAAAAACAACGAAGGCTTGAAGGCCTGTGTCCGCTGCAATTTCCCTGCAAAATATGATCACTACTTAGAGCGAGCTACCTGCAAACGGGAAAGCTGTGGATTCGACTATTGCACAAAGTGTCTGTGCGATTATCATAACAACACCAAAGACTGTTCGAATGGCAAGCTCCTAAAAGCAAGCTGTAAAATGACGGGCCCGTTGCCTGGAACTAAAAAGAGTAAAAAGAATTTACAAAGATTGTGACCCTTAGTAAATCAGTTATAGGCAATCTTAATTTCTACTTTTTAAGAAATGTTAGGTTTTAACTTCAGAAGGTTAAAAAAAAAAATGTATGGTGCCTTTTGCCCCTTTGTGAATAGAGGACATGTATAGCCTCTTAAAATAATTACAGTTTAAAGTTAAATTAAATTTGTCCATACAAATGCAAATACTTAACTCTTTTAAGAAAAAGAGAAACTGGACGTCTATTTGTACTTAGATGGTAAATTAAGATTGATTGGATTTTATGGCAAGCAGAGGCTGTAATTCTATGGAGTCTTTAAAACAGATGTGGTTCGGTATTAGCAGCATCTGCAGGCTTTACCACATTTCCCTTGTGTCCACGTCAATTTAAGTGTCCATTTAAATGTCTGTCCGTGTGAGCCTTCTTGGGTTGTATCTGTTGTAATGTTTGTTTCTGAAGTCTGTCTCAATGTTTTTATACCTGTAAATATTTCTGTTTTTACAATGCCAAAGAGAATAAATATACATATAACTTTGTTTTGTTATGAATAAAATTTTGTAAGTTCGGTGACATGTGCTGTCTATTTTTACGAACACATAAGCATTGGAAACAAGTACATTAAGCGGTGAAGGGATTTGGGTGGCTCATGTCTCACAGAGGGCTTGTCACTTCCTCTGACTTCTCTCCCAGAGCTTTAGTAAGTCTTGAAGACCTGTAGTGAGCACCTCTATACTTGCTGCTGCAACTCCTTAAAACTGATGTGGGAAAAAACAAGGGGGTTTACTGTGTCAGCAAGACTTACCCAACCATCACGTCGGAGCAGTGGGCACTTGTTTGATTTTATTTTCTACTTTTCATTTGTTTATCCATAAGACATTGTTCTAGATAACCTGCAGTGCCAGTTCAGTGGTGGTGGTTGTATCTTGCATTGGCTTCTGTTTATCATGAGCAATGCTTGTTTTAAAGAACAACTTGATGCATACAGTGATCCTAGGGAGTGGTCGCCTCATTTGCAGGATTTGAAATCCATCAGTGCTTCTCTGGGTTTGCTGACAAGCCAATTAGTTTTATTTTTAGGGCTTTTCGGTTTGGGTTTGGTTTTTTTCAAAACCGGGTTTCTCTTGTGTAGCCCTAGTTATCTTGAAACTCATTCCGAAGACCAGGCTGTCCTTGAACTCAGATCAATTCTAATGGGATAGATAACCTATGGAAATAACTTGACACCTAAAGCTCAGTATTCTCTACTTTGGTATTTTAAGTCTAATTGAACATGAATAGGGTTCTTTGTATTTTTGATTGCCAACTGTCCCCTAAAAATGGTGGTCCACTTTTCCCTCTTAGACTTGAGGGATTCTTTTATAGTTGGGTTAAATAGGTTTTCTATGTCACTTTTATAGTTAAGTAGATTTTCTGTATCATTACTCGGTCTCAGTTCTTTCAACATAATTCACTGGGTATCAGATTTGGTTTCTTAGTTTAATACAGGCTTTGGCTGTTACTGCTTCCCCTACCACATAGTGCTGTCTTATCATTCCTGGATATGTAACTCCTGCTACTTATTCATCTGCCCAGTCTTACCTATGGGGGTGTCTTAGGGTTACTGTTGCTATTGACGAACCACCATGACCAAAACCATCTTGGAGAAAAAAATTTATTTTCTTCACATTCAAATCAGCTCATCAAAAGCAGCTAGGGCAGGAACCTGGAGGCAGGAGCTGATGCAGAAGCCATAGAGTACTGCTTACTGGTTTACTCAGCTTGGTCTCTTATAGAACAGCCAAGGGATGGCACCGCCCACAAGAGGCTGGGCCCATCCTCATCAGTGGCTAAGAAAATGGCCCACAGGCTTGCCTACAAACCAATCTTACACAAGCATTTTCTGTGTTTTGAGCCAACAGTTCTCAACCTGTGGGCCACAACCTTGTCATGGTTGTAGACCAGATATTTATAATTCATAAGTAGCATAATTATAGTTATGGAGTAGCAATGAAAATAATTCTGTGGTTGGAGGGGTCATCACAACATGGCATAGTAAAGGGTCGCGGTGTTAGGAAGGTTGAGAATCACTGCTCTAAACTTAGCTGTCCAGCTGCCTCTTTGTCTCTAATACACTTCTTCTGATAGTGTCTCCCCTCTGTTATCAAAACTTTTTACTTGGTCATTTGAACGAAGTTTCTAACTTAGCTTTTGGAGAAAATACAGATATGTCTACATTATTGTTTGTTTTTTGTTTTTTAACTGGACATGCCAGGTTCATCTGGGAAGAGGGAAACACCCTATGAGAACTTGCTTCCATGAGATTGGCCTGTAGACAAATCTGTGGAGAATTTTCTTGATTAATGAGTGACGTGGAAAGCCCAGTCCACTGTCGCTGGGCTGTATAAAACAGCAACTCACGGAGCAAACTAGTAAGTATTTCTCCACATTCTGCTTCAGTTTCGGCATTGAATTCCTGCCCTGACTCCTCCATGATACATGACAACTGTAAACTAAGCAGAAACAAACCCTTTCTCCTGAACTTGCTTCTGGTTGTGGTGTTTTCTCAAAGATTGGAAGCTCAGACAGTTGCTTTCAAGGGTGTACCAAGACATTTTCCAGATTGGCACTCTTCCTCAAGAAATGGGCGAGAGTCCCGTTTATTTGCCATTCTTTTCAACACTTGCTACAGTGTAATTTTTGTCACTAGACTGACTGGGCTGTAAGTAGTTCCTCCCTATATTTTTCCTTTATATCCTGTGATGGATGTCTAGCATCTTTCCTTGTTCCTTGGCTTCATTTTCTTTGACGAACTATGAATTTAAATGATTTATCTTTTCTTACTGACGTTTGGGGGTATACATTTGGTTTTGTTTGTTTGTTTGTTTTTGTTTTTCGAGACAGGGTTTCTCTGTAGCTTTGGAACATACTCTGTAGATCAGGCTGGCCTTGAACTCACAGATTCACCACACCTGTCTGCCTCCCAAAAGCTGGGATTAAAGGAATGTGCCACCACCACCCTTTGCGTTTATCTTTTGTGGGTGTTCTCAAACTCAGTGCTGCCCATTTCATATAATCAAATGCTATCTTCACAGGTTAGCCCTGAGGCCAACTAACTGAGCACCAACGCCCCTGTTGGGAGTGCTACTGGGTACCAGGAAATGAGTGTTTCCTGCACTTCCCTAGGAAGCTTGTTGTGTCTTTTCACACAGCTTGAGGGCTGCTGTAAACTGACTATATGAGAGCCTTTCAACAGTTTCTCTGCTCAGTCTTACCCTGAGGATATATGTATGACATTGTTCCCTTTTCTTCAAACTTCTACTTTAACAGTTTGAACACATTGCCACGAGATGGCCTGAGTGTCCGTTCCTGTGAATTTAACGTAAAAAACATGGGAGAATGTTACTGCTGTTCTATTCGATTTATGTTGCCAGATTAGAAAATCAAGTACTTTCATACTGCTATGTTAGGATAGTTATATTTTGAACAGTTTAACTTTTGGCCTCAGACATGAAAGGTACGTCTTCTGTTCAATATTTGAAAGCATTGGTCTTACAAAATGTGGCTCTCTGCTAACCTGTATGGAACAGTGCGTTGCTAGAGGACATTTGGAACACAGTTCATCCAACGCCAAAGTGAGACAAATTGTAACGTTATAAATGCAGCATGCACACCGGATATTGGAGACTCTGTACAAAGCCAAACAAAATCAGCTATTTTCATATTGACTACTGATTGAAATAACCATCTATTAGCCAGGTGGTGGTAGTGCACACCTTTAATCTCAGCACTCAGGAGGCAGAGGCAGGTGGGTGTCTGTGAGTTTGATGCCAGTCTGGTCTACAGAGAGAGTTCCAGAATAGCCAGGGCTACACAGTGAGAATCTGTCTTAAAAACAAAACAAAACAAAAACAAAACAAAACAAAAAAACCAAAGGAAGGAAGAATATGATCATATATATTAAGATTTACCAGGTAATTAAAGCATTATATTATGATGTTCACACAAATTACAGAGAAGTCTTTTTGTTTTTAAAGTTTATGGGGGGACTTATTTATTATGTATACAGTGTTCTCCCTGGACCAGATCTTACTACAGATGGTTTTGAGCCACCATGTGGTTGCTGAGAATCAAACTCAGGTCCTCTGGAAGAGCAGTCAGTGCTTTTAACCTCTGAGCCATCTCTCCAGCCTCCAGAGAAGCCTTTTTTCTTTTTTTCACTCTAAGTGATGTGTTCAAATAGAGGACCCTAACATTCAGAGCTCAAGTTTTTGTTTGTATGTTTTTATTAAAAGAAGTAATTTTATTCAGTAGATCTGTGAGAGGACATTGCTAGAAAAAAAGTGAATGGCAGGATCTTTTCAAACCCTGGAGGCTAAATATTCCCTGTGTTTTGTGGATATAATTTTGAGTTGCTAATATCTAAAGGGTAACATTATCCATGACAGATTAGGAGGTGTAGTCAGACATTAGACATGCCGAAGCATTTCATCTTCATATGTGTATTGGGAAAGGGGTGACCAGAAGAGGACGTTGGATCCCCTGCAGTTGGGGTTACAGGCAGTTGTGAGCCGCCTGGCATGGGTGTTGGCCCTGAACTCTGGTCCTATGCAAGAGCAGCATGCACTCTGACCACTAACCCAGCTCGCAGTGAACTCGTTTTCCTAAAGCTCCTGTAACAGAAACGGCCTCTGAGATCTTCTCATCAGATATCTGTAGCTTCAGCTTTTGACTTTCTCACTGTTTAACCTTGGACATGGTTTTGTAGCCAAAATAATCTTGTGTTAAATTTTCTATCATGCACATTACTCTACTACTGCAAACTCTTGTCCTCAGTAGTATGGCAAGAGTTAGTGCCAGGTGAAGATTTCGTTATAGTACGGAGCTAATGAACCTGTAAATGTAGTGCTAATTAATAATGTAGACAGTTAAAGTTACTCATTTGCCCGTAGTTAGGACGCCTATTGAGCACCTTCTGTATACAGTGTGAGCTAGCTGGGTAATGTCAAATGCAGAGCCCATGTCTGAGTTCCATCGGTGAACTCAACTCTAAGACCGCCTAACAATTAATAATAGATGCCTCGGGTGTGCTGCCACACTCGCTAAATCTTTCCGAGTAGAAATGTTTGGGTTGTATTGATGACTGACTCCCTTGCTCTAGAGGGCGAACTGGAAGCTACTTAAGTGAGTAGCGGAGACTGTAGGAGGACACATGAGTGTGCACTCTGGAATCAGATCACTGGAGAACTGATGTTCTAGACCCAAGATGGAAGGGAATATGTCCTTTCTCTCCAGGAGCAGATTCTCGGGTCACAGATGCACAAGCCATGTCTATGCCATCCCTATGTTTTGGAGAGATGCAGTTGGGAAAAGACGAGGGACTTTTTTTCACCCTAAGAGGGAATTTGAGGGTAACAGTGTTTTACCACTGCAAGGCATAGCAACAGTCTTTCTGGGAGTCTGCGGGCTCACAGGAAGTGGGGGTGTTGGCTGTGCTGAGATGGAAGGGCAAAGGGAAGAGGACTCTATGGCCCTTTCTACCTTGTT